GACATCAAACTTTTACCGTTGGTTAGGGGAGATTGTGTAGTTGTTATGTGTATCGATAAACAAGTATTTTCACAATGGAGAACTCGGGAAATCGTGATCATTTGCAAAAACGTTAAATTAGCTTTGAATGGCTGGTGATTGGTGTATTTGAGAACATTTTGATATTAGATTGTTGTTGAATGTTTGTTGTCATTGGGAAATTAATTCATTTTAAAAAAATAGGGCTATTAAAAAAGAAATTTGTAGGAAATAAAGAAAACATGTTATGGTGCGATTTTATCAAGTGAACATCATTTAAATCGGCAAAATGCTGTTCGCATTCGCATTTTCCAACCAAATTGGTTGAAATTTGATATTTAAGATTTCAGAGGATAAAATACCACCTCTTGGTAGATATTAGATATTAGTATATTTTCTGACGAGTAGTTTCTATATAAATAAACGTTCCAAATGATTTTCGATATTTTAAAGGTCCTCACCAAAGTAGTTGTAAATGGCTGTTTCGGTTTTTCAAAGTATAAATAAGCTTCTCATAGGACTAGAGGGGTCCATGTTTTTATCTAGCTTCCGTGTCATTTTTGGTATTTTGAGAATCATATCTAAATGTTTCATTTGGCATTTCGAGTCCTTTAAGAAGGAAGGAGGAATATCCACCCTCTCCCCTTTTGTAACACATCTTGATGCTCCTCGTCCTGAATTCAAAAACCTGAAAGAATATTTCCAATATTTGGCCATGTTTTTACATAGCTGCCCTCTTTTAGGTATATTTATGGTTATAGCCGCATTATCGAACCGAGGTATCTGGCAATTCACATTTCGGTTTAGCAGAGTATAAAATACCTTTCGGTCAGAATATATATATTTTTATTTAATAAAAGTAAATATAATTATATAACAATGGATCTGCCTCATTTTATTCCTAAGTATTTTCAAGAGATGAAAAACCCACTGGCAGAAATTTTACAATGCAGGATGATGACTTGACACATGGGTCTACGTGTTCCTTATTAAGGGTTTTTTTTAAGTTCGAACCTCAGTGGCTGAAAATTTAGCTTTTCCGGTTCTCAGAGGTTAAAATACCTCCTTACCGAAATTTTTCAACATAGTTCTATGTTTGGACATAACGTGGAATATATGCAAATTAGGATTTTCAACTAACCACTTCGAAAGTGCCAGAGGGGGTGTATTGATTTCATATGCAATTTTTAATTTTTCAAAAAATTAATCGAATATTTTTTCTATAGAATAATAATTTATAGTTTTCTTGTATAGAAAAAAATATTAGAAAGAAAAAAAAATGATCTTATCTTCATATATAAATTTTTTTCTGGATTATTTTTTCTTAAAGAAGAAATTATCTAGATATTTTTTTATAGAAAACATCGAAAGGATATTTTCTTCTTATAGAAAATGTTATGCGAATAATTTTCTTTCTAGAAAAATTTACTTGGATATTTTCTTCAAATAGAAAAATTCACATGGATAATTTTTATACCCTTCACCACACTGTGGTACAGGGTATTATGTTTTTGTGCATATGTTTGTAACAGGCAAAAGGAAATGAGATAGACACATGGTTCCTTTTGAGAATATGCATAGAATCACATTCTGAGTCGATTTACGCATGTCCGTCTGTCTGTCTGTCCGTCCATGTATTTTTGTGAACAAAGTACAGGTCGCATTTATGATCCGATTTGGATGAAATTTGGCGTAGGTCACTTATTTAGCTCAAGGACTTATTTAGCTATTGAAATTGGGAAAAATCGGTTCAGATTTAGATATAGCTCCCATATATATTTTCGAAAATATTTGGAAAAATATATATTATTTTTCTATAGGAAATATACCCGCATAATTGTGCCTCATATAATAGGATATTTTTTCCTACAAAACAATTTTGCGGATACTTTTTTTGACCATTTTAAATTTTACGTTTTTGTCATCTATTTTAGTTTTAAAATTCTGGTCGCTTTGTAAGCTGGGTCTAAAAACTGATAAGCATGATTTGATTCATGCCCGTCAATAGATGGCGCTGAAGACGCTATCTTAAAATATTCGCATCTCTTTTTATTTTCGGTATAACTTTTTTCGTATAACAGATATTAAAATGAAAGTGGTGTCAGATGAAATATACAATTGTATACTTTATTCTAAAATAAATATAATTTCAAAATTATTTGTATATTAAAATGAAATTGGATATTTGTTACTTGTTTTTGCTGTATTTGACAGTTTACTGCATTGTATTTTTTGTCATTTAAATTTGAATTTCTATAAAGTTGAAGAATATTAAAAAAATTTTATTTCTTATTTAACTTGTTTCATTAAAACGGCACATCGTATTTTTTTTACTAAACTAAATTTTATTATTTTTTGTATAGTGTAAAATTAAAGCAAAAACACCATTAATTATTCTTTTTTAGCATATTCATTAAAACTTTTGATTTTTTACAAACTTAATAACTGTTTTCTTCTTCTTTTTTATTATTATTATTATGTATTACAATTTTGGTCCAAAGCACTTCAGCCAAATTCAGCTCATATACAAATATATTTAAGTTATTGTCATCTATATATTCTATAGTTTTTGTTATGGATTATTAATGGTTCGAAAAAATACTTTTTAATTGTTTTATATATTTATTTTTAAAAATAGTAAATATTTATTTCTTTTTACTAGAACTATGTAAAAATTATTATAATGGAAATAAATCCCTTTGGGCTTTTTTGTTAATCTATTGGTTTTTATTTATTTATTTTTTTTGTAAAAATGTGTGTTTGTGCGTGTATGTAATGATTGGTATAGCAAAATATTCTTAAATTATTTATTTTTTATATTTCTTTTTAAATACTAATTATACTAGGTATACTTTTAAGTAAAATTTTTGGCATTTAAGTGTATGTGGAGGAGTTTGGTTTAGTTGATTATATTGTATTTCCAATGAATATTTAAAAAATATATTTTATTTTATTCTAAGCCAAATTAAAAACCAGTAAGAAAAGTAGTAAAATCGGACGGGCCGACTATATGATACCCTTCACCAGACGTCGCCTTTTTGAAGGACCATTAACATAAAATTAAAAATGCATTCTGCAACCTATACTAATGGGGACAAATTATGTAAATAAATTTAAAGCAAAACATCGAAATGTAAGCCGGTTTAATCGAAACTTGTCACATGTCAGGTTACACTTACTTCAGAATGTTTTGTGCATTCAGCCACATTTTGAGTTCTTCATTTACTTACAAATCCAAATTTCGTGCAAATCGAAGGATATATAGGGACATTGGTGAGCCATTTACATAAAATCGGACGAAAATATATATGGGAGCTATATCTAAATCTGATCCGATTTTCACGAAATTTAACACACATTATTCTAGACTTAATTCAGTACGCTGTGCCAAATATCGTGCAAATCGAAGGATATATAGGGACTTTGGTGCACCATTTACATAAAATCGGACGAAAATTTATATAGGAGCTATATCTAAATCTGAACCGATTTTTCCCAATTTCAATAGGGTTCGTCCTTGGGCCAAATAAATGAGCTGTGCCAAATTTCATCCAATTCGAATCAAAAATGCGACCTGTACTTTGTTTACAATTTCGTTCGCTTAACGTTTGACTTAAATGAATTTTGAAATATTGAGAATTGTGAGCCATTGTGGGGAAGGTACCAGAAGGAGTGGGCCACCAATGAGTCCCATCTTCGGATTTGATCTATGTGTGATAAAAATAATAGCATGTGCAAAGTTTAGTTCAAATCGGACATTCTTTTCGCCTAATATTGAACTTTAAAATATATAACATTTTGAATCCTTTGTGGGGGAGGTACAAGAAGGAGTGGAACAATTGGTCCCATCTTCAGACTTGATCTAGGCTTGTTAAAGATAATAGGTTCTGCAAAGTTAGGATCAAATCAGAATTGAATAATTTTCCTGATTGTGGATTTTAAACTATTGAAAATTTGTAACCTTTCTAGGGGAGGTACTAGAAGGAGTGGACCGATATTTCCCGTTTTCGAGCTTGGCTTAAGTTTGGAAGAAATATTATGGTCTTCAACGTTTATTTGAAATCGGTTACTCCTTTCGAGAGTTAACGTGCACACCGGACGGTCAGACAGACGTGCGAATATCGACATAAATTGTATGAAAGGGATTTGGGGTCCAATATTTCGATGAGACAATTTTTTGCAGTATCAAAGTGTATCTACCTTCCTTAGCCATAGATGATTTAGACTTGATAAAGATAATAGGTTCTGCAAAGTTAGGATCAAATCGGAATTGAATAATTTGCCTGATTGTGGATTTTAAACTATTGCAATTTGTACCCTTTCTGGGGGAGGTACTAGAGAGTGGATTGATATTCCCCATTTTCGAGTTAGGCTTAAGTTTGGAAGAAATATTACGGTCTTCAACGTTTGTATGAAATCGGCTACTCCCTTCGAGAGTTAATGTGCACACCAGCCGGTCAGACATAGGTGCGAATATGAAAGGGATTTGAGGGTCCAATATTTCGATGAGCCAATACAGTATCAAAGTGTATCTACCCCCCTTAGCCATAGGGCTGAGATTTTAAAAATGTATGGGAGTGATGTATTATTTTCAATAGTTTTTTTTCAACAAAGTGATCCCTTCATGGGCAAGCTCTTCAGACAGCTGGAACAAAGTCCTCATTTTTTTGAAAAATTGTGTTCAATACGTAGTAAAAATCCTTCATATTATTTTCAATTCATTGGCTTAGAATATATTTATCTCCTTATAATAAAGAGTCGTAGGATATATCCATGTTATACTTACAAACTATATAAAATTATTATTTTTAAATTCGCATTAAATTCTAAAAAAACTATGTGTAAGTATGTATATGTAAAAAGTGTATACAAGTAGTTGTAGTAATAGCAATAAGTGTAAAAAATCGACCACTTATAAGGAAAAACTATTCGCAAAACAAGGCACTACTGCTATGGCAGTTTACAGCAAATCAAATATTCCTCTATTCCGTTCTTTGGATGATCATTTCGATTTTATCGCCAGCGGCAGCAATCAATGGAACTGTGAGGCAGCAATCGAAATCTTGGGTTTTCATTTCATTAACCTAAAAAAGAAAAAAAAAATAATTATTTTCCACCAAAAATAAATCCCACCTCCAACATACCTGCATAATTCTATCGAATGGCTTTAGCATTCCACATTTATCTGCCGGTCCACCCGAACGTATACGATTTATAAACACCCCACGTTCATAAAGACCATCCGATACGGAAAAGCCATAATCATCATACACCTTATCTTTGAAAAGAGTAACATGGAATATTCTTTGTTTTTCAGCCTTGCCGCTACTGGAACCACTATTGGAACCATTATCGGTATTTGTTGAAGGACTTCTTGGCCGTCGTTGCACTTTGGCATATATGGCTTGGGGTTGTGGCATATTATTTGTTTCCAGCGTCGAACCATAACTATTTTGAACATCATGCATCCGCAAAATTTTCAAATCAACAATATCACCAAGATTTTGCAGCAGATTTGTGGCATGTGACAGGGGCATACCTTGCACCGATTCAGCATTGATGGCCAATAATTGATCGCCAACAAGGATTTGTCCATTTTTGTGGGCAATACCACCTAGAGAAGAAAAACATATTTGGGAATTAAAAAAAAGAATATAAGAAGTAATATAACGTATATGTCGAACGGCTAGGTCTACACCTAGATATTAATCCAACAGTCTCCGAGGGTCCGAAAAAAGGTCAACAGTCCCCGAGGGTCCTGTTGAATTTTTTTCTATAGAAAAAGCCAACATTCCCCGAGGGTCATGTTGATTTTTCTCTATAGAAAAAGCCAACAGTCCCCGAGGGTCATGTTGATTTTTTCTATAGAAAAAAGCCAACAGTCCCCGAGGGTCATGTTGATTTTTTCTATAGAAAAAAGCCAACAGTCCCCGAGGGTCCTGTTGAATTTTTTCTATAGAAAAAAGCCAACAGTCCCCGAGGGTCATGTTGATTTTTCTCTACAGAAAAAGCCAACAGTCCCCGAGGGTCCTGTTGAATTTTTTCTATAGAAAAAAGCCAACAGTCCCCGAGGGTCATGTTGATTTTTTTCTATAGAAAAAAGCCAACAGTCCCCGAGGGTCCTGTTGAATTTTTTCTATAGAAAAAAGCCAACAGTCCCCGAGGGTCCTGATGAATTTTTTCTATAGAAAAAAAGCCAACAGTCTCCGAGGGTCCTGCTGAATTGTTTCTATTGAAAAAAGGCCAACAGTCCCCGAGGGTCCTGTTGATTTTTTTATAGAAAAAAAGCCAACAGTCCCCGAGGGTCCTGTTGATTTTTTTTATAGAAAAAAAGCCAACAGTCCCCGAGGGTCGTGTTGAATTTTTTCTATAGAAAAAAAATCATCCAAATTACCAACGTGGGTTCTGTGGAATATTTTCTATGGAAAAAATGTCAGACCTGAGGTCTGTGGAATTTTTTCTATAGAAAAAATCAATGTACTGAGGGTGCCGACATTTTCCTATAGAAAAAATATTCTTCCTGAGGTCTGTTGATTTTTTTATAGAAAAAAGTAACAGTCCCAGAAATCCTTTGATTTTTTCTATAGAAAAGTGACTTTGCAAATCTTACCTTCAACAATACCACTAATGGTTATGGGCTTTGAAATATCCTCACTGCCAGCCAAGGTTATACCCAGCAGACCACCCTTGGGTTCCAAGCGGACGGTGAAAATAATTTGATGTAAACTGGTGCCGCTGCTTTTACTGCTGGAACTAGCCGCTGAACCATAGACTTTATTCTCCATTGGTGGAGGTAGATTAGTACAGTCAGCACTGGAAAAGAACAACAACAAATAGATAAGTGTTCCATATTAATAAAATTCCACTTCCCACTTACCTAACATAACGATCCAAATCATAACCACCTCCAAATTCATTATACGAATTTTCATCATCTGGCAACTCTGTGGTCAGACTTTGTGTGTTTTGATTAAACGAACGGCCCATGGTACCCCAATTGGGCGCCGCCAAATGGTGGCGTATCTGTACCGATGTCATGGTGTTATCCTCCAATGTGGGACCACGAAAATATTCCGGTTGTGGTGTACTCGATTTCATCGATAGACAATCGCTTTGATATTTCATTTCGGCATATTTATTCGCCACATAGGCACTGCTATACAGATCATGTTCGGTGGTGGGACTACTTGGGCAATTACTGTAAATGTGATTGGGCATTTTTTGTTGGGCATCGAATAGGAAGTCGGGTAGCATAACTCGCTTTACGGTCAAGGTGGAAAAATCACCTTGGGAACCATCTTTGAGTAGAGAATCAACATTGAAATGTTGAACGGGGTGATTGTCGACGGCCAGAAGTATATCACCGGATCTTAGGGACCCAGTACGATGAGCAGGACTGCCAGGTTTAACATCGGAAATAACAAATCCACCATGACTAGAACCATTGATGCTTAGACCCAAGCCCGCCTTGCCTAGGCGTAATACTTTTACATTGAATACCCCGCTAGAGGGCACCACTGTATCCGGCATATCAAATTCTATTTCGAGTTCCAGCCAATTGGCAGGACTGTGTGGTGGACGGGAACCCAAATCACCCAAAAGCTGACGCATTGTCTGCACATCAAGGTTGTACATTTTATTTATGGCCACAATGCGATCGCCCTTTTGGATGCAACCACAACGATCGGCCACAGAATCGGGTACAATTTTCGATATTGTTACCGCACGGCCACAGGGTGTTTGGGCACCCAAAACCAAACCGGAACCCATGCTGCAGTCCAAAAGAACCGGAAATGTTTCGGCCCGACAGATGCCCATGCTGGACGAATGATGGAGACCGGAAGTTGTGCTGCTGTTGCTCGTGGTGGCACTGGCACCTAGACTGCTGCCACTAACACTGCCGCTGCTGGGCACGCTGATACTACCAGCACCACTGCTGCTGGCCGCACTTGCTGCACAGTTCGTATTCGTTCCGCCGCCGCCTCCTCCTCCACCCACTCCCGTTGTCGTTTCCAAAGGCAAAGAACTTTTACGCGTGAAACGTTGACGCTGACGAGATTTTCGTGATTCTAAAGTGTTGAAACCGTATTTTGGACTATTCAAGGCGGCATGACCTGCAAACCAAAATGTGAAAGCAGAAGAAGAGGAAGATGGAAAATCAGAAAATTATTCGTAGAAAAAAATTAATGAGCAGCAAAGGGAAACACACACAAAAAGACATTTTCCAACTGCTGCCTACATAGATTTCCTCCACCATCAGATTTCCACGACATCAATTAGAATTTGAAAGTATTTTTAGTTTCGTTTTTCCTTTTTCTATGTATGTCTGTCTCTCTGTCGGTTGTTTCGTCTGTCATTTGGTGTGTAAATCTGTCCATCCAAACAAACATTTATGTTCGCTTGAGTGTGTATTTTTGTGCGGAATCCCCCCTTTCCATAGTCTCCTCGTTTATCATGTCTAAAGCTTCCGAATCTCTTCCGAATGTGATCCGATGCTGTTGACGTTGAAATTTATGTTTTTCCAAAAAGGGCTTTTTCGAAAGATAAGTGTGAGGGAATGATGCACAGTGGGATGCAGGGAAATTTTTTTATGTAAACCAAAAAATAGAAAAAAATCAACAGTCGCAGAGTCCCTGTGAGCTGTTGGCATTTTTATTTTTTCCATAGAAAAAAAAAACAACAGGACTTCTGGGACTGATTGCATTTTTTTTAAAAAAAAAAAAAAAAAAAAAAATCAACAGGACCAAAGTAGACTGTTGGCATTTTTCTATAGAAAAAATCATCAGGACCCTAGGGGACTGTTGGTCTTTTTTCTATAGAAAAAAATGAAACAGGACCCCGGGGAAAAAACAAACGGCAACTTCAGGGACAGTTGTCCTTTTTTATGTAGAAAAAATCACTAGGACCTCTGGGGATTGTTGTCTTTTTTCTATACAAAAAATCAACAGGACGTCCGGATACTGTTGGTATTTTCTCTAAAGAAATAAATCAACAGGACGTCCGGAAACTGTTGTTTCTCTATAGAAACAAATTCAGCAGGACCCTATGGGACTGTTGGTATTTTATCTATAGAAAAATATTCAACAGGACTCTAGGGGACTGTTGGTCTTTTTTCTATAGAAAACAGTCCATTGGGGGACTGTTTGTCATTTTTCTATAGAAAAAAAACTCAACAGGACCCTTGAGGACTGTTGGTCTTTTTTCTATAGAAAAAACTCATCAGGTCCCTAGGGGACTGTTGGTCTTTTTTCTATAGAAAAAACTCATCAGGTCCCTAGGGGACTGTTGGTCTTTTTTCTATAGAAAAAACTCATCAGGTCCCTAGGGGACTGTTGGTCTTTTTTTCTATAGAAAAAAACTCAACAGGTCCCTAGGGGACTGTTGGTCTTTTTTTCTATAGAAAAAAACTCAACAGGTCCCTAGGGGACTGTTGGTCTTTTTTTCTATAGAAAAAAACTCAACAGGTCCCTAGGGGACTGTTGGTCTTTTTTTCTATAGAAAAAAACTCAACAGGTCCCTAGGGGACTGTTGGTCTTTTTTCTATAGAAAAAATTCAACAGGACCCTGGGGAGCTGTTGATCTTTTTTCTATAGAAAAAACTTCAACGGGACACCTAGGCACTATTGGTCTTTCTTCTATAGAAAAACTTCAACAGGACACCTAGGCACTATTGGTCTTTCTTCTATAGAAAAAATTCAAGAGGACCCCTGGGGACTGTTGGTCTTTATTATACAGAAAAAAAGTCAAAAGGACCCCTGGGGAATGTAAGTATTTTTTCTATTTTTTCAGACTGTGCATTTTTTTCTGTTTGCCCCACTGTGCCAATTCCAAAAATGACATAAGTTCCCCTCCAAATAAATACAAAAAAAAATCTGAAAGCTGTTCACATTTGCCGGTCGTTTCGGTTAATTCCGCTGTTCGATCATCTTTTAAAATAAATCTCAATATTGAAATAAATGTCAGCCAATAAATACTGACACAGAGTTCCAAAAATATCAATGCTTTCAATATGGAGCCAGAAAAAAACCAATATCGACAATAACAACAACAACAGCATGGATCTTGATTACTATGAATTATTGGGGAGTGGATGGACGGGGAAGTGTCAGAGGGAAGAAAATTAAATATGCCTTCCCCTCCCACCAAATACACACACACCACGTAAAAGGGGGAGTGTGTCCCATTTCGTGTGCTCCCAAAATCGTGAAAGAATAATTTGAAGTATTTTTAATTTTTGTCACTCCATTTCATTTTGGTTTATCCCCAAATCAATTGTAGTGTTGTCACAAAGTTTTGTTCATCGATTTTTGTTTTGTTTTTATTAAATGCGATTTTGACATTTGTATTTGTCAGCAGTGATTGTGTTTTTGGGGTATTACCACAAATGATACGGTGGAACAGACGGCACAAGGTGATTGTTCTTTATTTCCTTTTATGGCTGAAATTGTCAAAATTGTTTTTCGGAACATCCGCTTTTGTTAATTTTTAGTTCCCTGTTGTTGTTTTTGTTGTTGGGGGTGATGTCACTTCATTATAAACGAAGTGCTAAAATGTCATTTTGAATTTAATTAGTATGTCATCGCCGATGAGATGGATGGATGATGTCAATATTCATCAAAAAGTGGGTTTTAGAGGATGATTATTCATCACAGTGAGTCTTTGAGAGGGAGATCTGAGTAGAACGTAAAAACTTCATTAAGTTCATCTGGACATAACTTTTTATGCCAGAATAACGAAAATGAGGCAGGACCATTATATGGGATCTCTTTGAAAGCACCTTCCAAACGGCGGAATGTCAAATTACAGCCATTATTATTGTAACGACAGTTTTTTAACTATTCACACCCTACGCAATTTTTCTATCATTAGGTATATAAAAGGGTACAGTGTACAAAAATTAATTGTTTGTCAACAATCTTACTCAGAGAATAGATGCGGGGTAGATTCCAATTCATTTGGAAAAAGTTTCTTCATAATTTCTTTTGAGAAATTTGTACTATGTACGAAAAAGGAAATTATGCGACACCTTTTAGGTTACATCCCGACGTAAACATTTAAAATTCCGTCTTCGATATATCATTAATTTTTCCCGATAATGACCAACAAGTGTTAATTTGTAGCACAGTGTTACCTTGGAATTGTAACGTTTAGAGTATCGATGACGGGGCAGATTTTGACGCCTGCAAAAGTTTTTTACTTTAAAGAATTTGTGATATACAGAAGAGATATTATCTTGACATCGAAATCGGCGCCTGGTTTGAGGAAAACTATGACAAGTATGTTTCGAACGTGAAATTTAAACCGATTGAAAGCAACTGCTAAATTATTAGTTACGGAAAATCCTAAAGGAGACCCAACTCATTTTCTACACTTTCCCATAAATCGCAAAAGGGAACATAATCTCATAAGGAGTACGATTTTGTAATAAATTTGGAAGCGCCGTTTATTTGCTCAGAGATATCATAGTGGCTTCGAACATCAAGAGTTCTTTTCAACTGTGACCATTTGGTTTGCCAAAACTGAAAAGGTCCAAGAACGAGAACGACTAACCACCATAAGAGTCTAAACGCAACCAGAGAGTCACGAGTCAGCGTCATACTTTTTCGCCGGCGTGAAAACCAAACGAAAGAGTTAGCGTTAGCGGCACAAAATGTCAATTATTTGTTTTCATTTTCTGACAGAAAATTTTACGTTGTGCAAACCAAAATCAATTTATTATTTATTAAACAATAATGTCAAGGAACTTGGATAAAATTATTGAAAAAAATATTTTTCTTCCATTTTATTATTAATTCGTTAAAAAACATCCACAATCTTTGAAAATATTTGTTTTTAACAGCACTGCCATATGTTTTGATATAAATTCTCATTGAAATTTGGTAGCACTGTTGATTTTTACCTAAAATATGGCAACTCAATTGAGAGCAAGAGAGAAATTTTGAGTATGACGCTGAGCAAAAATGAATAAAATCTAGCGTCATGCCGCTAGACGCGAACGTCAGCCGTCGCGACTTCCCGTTGCCAATAAGAAACACACGACAAACGACTGTCGCTGACTCTAGACTCTATGGTTGCGTTTAGACTCTAAGGTAGACTGTGTATTAAATTTGTCATTCAGTTTGCAATATCTCCAAATATTCACCGGAGACCCCATAAAATATATATTAGGTTAAAGAAAGAGAAATCCATTATTTTTATATGAACTATAGGACTTTATTTAACATGCTTCGGAATGTCCACATATGCACCGTTTTGTTGTGATTTGTTGCCATTTTAAAGGTAACTTCATAATGCCTCTCTCATAGAAGTCCTGCTCTCTATTTGCAAAAAAAAAAAACTCTAGTAGTCTATTTTCACAATCCTCCCTGGATACCAATTTTTTATCATTAACCCTTTGTGTCCCAATGTTGCCCACAGGCAACAAAATGTTTTAGAGCTAATATTTAATATACTGCTAGTAGATATATATTCTTTGGATTGCATACGTCAAGGCCTGTTTATGGACGACACATATCACAAGAAAAATCTAAAAAAAAACAAATTTTTGGTAAAGTTATGAGCTTTTTAATATGGAGAAGAGGGCAAAAATGTCTACAGTACTGAGTTGTGTATACAGTCCAAATTATTTAAATCGCTTATTATTTGAAATATACGAACTCTGCCGTCAGAATTATTTTTGATTCTTGTATAATAGAATATAGAGAATAATTTAAAATAATTTTTTCGTCGATTTTGCATTTGTTTTTCTTCATAGTCGCAGGAGATGTGTGTGGCCTAGCGTTGTCCTGGTAGAACACGACACCTCTCCTCTTGGCTAATTCTGGCGGTTTCTGGCCAATTGCTATTTTCAAACGTTCCAGTTGTTGAGAGTGGAGATCAGAATATAGTGTTTGGACATATGGAAACAACTCATAATAAATAATCCCCTTCCAGTAGCACCAAGTGCATAGCAGAACCTTCCTATCCGTTAGTTCTGGTTTGGCCACCGTTTGAGGTGCTTCACCGGTCTTTGACCACAATCGTTTTCGCACAGGGTTAACGTATGTGACCCTTTTCTCATATCCAGTCACCATTCGTTTAATAAATGGGTCTATCTCATTCCGTTTGGCCAAGGCTTCGCAGATGGAAATTCGATCTATCCTATTTTTTCTGTTAATTGGTGTGGCACCTAAACACCGAACTTCTTTTTGAATCCAGCTTTGTGTAAATGGTTTAAAACTACTTTATGGTCGATTTTTAGCTCCTGGGTGATGTTACGACTGCTAACATGCCGGTCATCTTCGATAATTTTTCCGATTTTATCGAAATTTTCGACGAATAAATAATGCATTTATTTTTTCTCTAACCTATATATTTTGGATCAGAATAAATTTCTATGTCCTACCAATAATTATCAATACTGGTCCAAAATTTTACGATAGCGCGCATATAACTGTACCTCCGTATTTTAAGGATAATAAGCTAGTTTTTCGACCAACAGGGTTGTACTTTTTTATTTTGTATTACAATTTAGTAGCAAATCGTTACACTCCAAATTACCAATTTTGGTCTACTTTTTACGATCGTTATATGTAGGCATAACGATAACGGTATTCGGTATTTTGGGGTTTCTTTTACCCGAATTGGCTGCAATTTCGTTTTCATTGGATGTCAAATCTTCCTACCAAAAATGTACCAAGGTAAATCCGGCGATATATTTAAATGTACAGAACGATTATCGATATTTTAAATGTCCAGCTAATACTTTAAATGGGGCGGTATAATTCTACAAGGACGCCCTTTAAAAATAGTTTTTCTTATCTTGAATTATTAGTATTTCCTATGTTAAAAATGTAACGAACCTTTTATTGAAAAAAAAAACATATACCTAAGATCATGTGTAACCTTTATATTCGGATGATATCACAATATGGAACTATATTCATAAACATTGAACCAATAGGTCTGTTTTCCTCACATAACACAAATCGTAGCCAATTAATTTGAGAAATGGGGATAGAACCTTTAAAAATTATTTTGAAACTTATCTACAAGGTGGACCTACACCTTCGGGATAGTCTTATAACATGTTCTCTATTGGTAAATGCGTCTATGTTATGTATAATACATATTAAATATGTATATTATTTATAAAAATGTAACAATTTCCAAAATCGGATACGCATTTCCTAAAAATTGGAGTTAATTATAATTATAATCAACAGAAACATTTGAATTAAAAAAATATTTCTTCACGAAAAAATGTTCGAATTTTTGACAAAATCATAAATTCGTGAAACAACAGTTGTTCCAAATCGAAAAACAGGAGGGGAGATATTATGGCAAAAAAGTATACGACAACATTACGATTTCGTAGACGCACAACTTGTTTTCTCCATGCCTGAGTGACGCCTCGCTTTTTTCAACAAAAACAACGAACAAAAGTTGTGCTATGCTTCTGCTAATGTCATCCGTGTTAAAAAATCCCAAAAAGAACACAGACCTCCATTTTCCCAAACAACCCCCCTAGACATCCGCAAATATTTAGTTTGTTTTTACAAAAAAAAAAAAAAAAAAGAAAAACGAACGACTTCTGTCTATTTTTCCTGTGGAGAACTCTCTATTCCATATTTGTTTGTTGTTGCTGATGATGGTGTTTTGTTGTTGTGTTTCTTATTGTGTGTTGTTGGTTAAGTGTATTTTTTATGATCGACAAATGTCATAGAATGACAGCAAGACGACGAGCAGCGCTCTGGCATTGCTTGGAAACGTAGCACAAGCGATTTTCTATAGATGTGCTTCGACAATCGACTATTCGATTCACTGCACAATGGGATGAATGGGTATCGTCATTATCGTATAAGTAATTTACGAGCATTTTTGGATCATATATTGATTGTGAATGCAAACAGATAATGATGAGAAGATGGCAATGATATTTCATAGGGTGTGCGTGTGCGTCGCGATGGAAAATAATGAGGTCTTGGCTGTAGTTGTTGGAGGTGTGATTGTTTTTCATGGCGTAGATACATTGAAAATATATGCGGAACAATATGCAAAAGTCATTAACAAAATAAATATACATGCGGAAAATACTGGAAGATCGCAGAAAAATAATATCCACTTGTGTTCAAATCGTCGTCTAATACTTGCATACATTTCCGAATTGATAGGGATGTTTGAATTTCTCTTGATGAAAATTAATGACAAAAATATTTTTTTAAATGTCCCTATTCCAGAAGTTATGGAGTTCATAACTATATAAATACTCCCACTTACCTCTTCGTGCCAATGCATGGGCAGGCATTATTTGCATTTGTGTATAACCACGTCCCGAACTGGTATCCAAAATTGTCATTACCTCATCCGGTGTATACGAAGAATTTTCGATACTAATATCGTCAATGGAAAGTACTTGATCGCCAACAGAAAGAGCACCGCATCTGGGGAGGAGAATAAAAATAAATTTTTATTTTAAATTTAAAAATCCGACGGATTTATCCACAGATATCTTTTAATTGGATTCCAGGTTTTAGTGGTTAATTATTTTCTTTAGGCTTTTTCTAAATTCTGTTCATCAACTTACCGATCAGCTATGCTCGCTGGCAAAATACTGGCAATATATACACCCGCCGAACTAACTTCATCGATTTTTGTATGATCCGTAAGGCCGGCAGCTGCCGAATTGTAGTTACACAATACCAAACCTAATTTATCATTCATAGGACGTTCGATTTCAATCAACAATGGACCCATTGAGAATTCAACACTTTGTACCACCGAAACATCATATTCAATGGTCAGATTTGTATAGCCCGATATGTGACCACCACATTTGATAATCTGTTGGGCCTCGGCCAAAGTCTTGCCAATCAGGGAAACCTGAAGAAGAGATGCAATTATTTAATATAGAATTTGAAATATAAGAGAGACCAATCCGAGAGATAGACGGGACAGATGTAGGCGAAGCATGTCTTCTATAGATAAAAGAGCATCCCTTCTCCATAGACGGAAAAATCTCTCTTCTCTACTATTGATAGAAGAGTATTCTATCGGTGAAAAAACTTCACTCTTCTATAGAAAGAAGAACTCTTTCTTATATACGATAGAGGAGCATCTCTTCTATAACATAGAAAAGATTAGCTCTTCTATACATAGAATAGAGTAGCTTTTTTATTCATAGAAGAGAGTAACATAGAAAAGGGTAGCTCTTCTATACGTAGAACAGGGTAGATCTTAATAATATAATAGAAGAGAAGCTCTTCTATCTATAGAAGAGAAGCCCTTCTATCCATAGAAGAGAAGCTCTTCTATCCGTAGAAGAGAAGCTCTTCTATCCATAGAAGAGTAGCTCTTCTATCCATAGAAGAGTAGCTCTTCTATTCATAGAAGAGGAGCTCTTCTATCCATAGAAGAGTAGCTCTTCTATCCATAGAAGAGTAGCTCTTCTATCCATAGAAGAGTAGCTCTCCTATCCATAGAAGAGGAGCTCTTCTATCCATAGAAGAGTAGCTCTTCTATCCATGGAAGATTAGCTCTTCTATCCATAGAAGAGTAGCTCTTCTATCCATAGAAGAGTAGCTCTTCTATCCATAGAAGAGTAGCTCCTTTCTAACCATAGAAGAGCAGCTCCTTTCTATCCACAGAAGAGCAGCTCCTTTCTATCCACAGAAGAGCAGTTCTTCTATACATAGAAGAGTAGCTCTCCTATTCATAGAAGAGTAGCTCTCCTATCCACAGAAGAATAGATCTTTTCTATTCATAGAAGAGTAGCTCTTCTATCCATAGAAGAGTAGCTCTTCTATCCATAGAAGAGTAGCTCTTCTTCTATCCGTAGAAGAGAAGCTCTTCTATCCATAGAAGAGTAGCTCTTCTATTCATAGAAGAGTAGCTCTTCTATCCATAGAAGAGTAGTTCTTCTATCCATAGAAGAGGAGCTCTTCTATCCATAGAAGAGTAGCTCTTCTATCCATAGAAGAGAAGCTCTTCTATCCATAGAAGAGTAGCTCTTCTATCCATAGAAGAGTAGCTCTTCTATCCATAGAAGAGTAGCTCTTCTATCCATAGAAGAGTAGCTCTTCTATCCATAGAAGAGTAGCTCCTTTCTAACCATAGAAGAGCAGCTCCTTTCTATCCACAGAAGAGCAGCTCCTTTCTATCCACAGAAGAGCAGCTATTTTCTATCCATAGAAGAGCAGCTCCTTTCTATCCACAGAAGAGCAGATATTTTCTATCCATAGAATAGCAGTTCTATACATAGAAGAGTAGCTCTCCTATTCATAGAAGAGTAGCTCTCCTATCCACAGAAGAATAGATCTTTTCTATTCATAGAAGAATAGATCTTTTCTATTCATAGAAGAGTAGCTCTTCTATCCATAGAAGAGTAGCTCTTCTATCCATAGAAGAGTAGCTCTTCTATCCATAGAAGAGTAGCTCTTCTATCCATAGAAGAGTAGCTCTTTTATACATAGAAGAGTAGCTCTTCTATCCATAGAAGAGTAGCTCTTCTATCCATTGAAGAGTAGCTCTTCTATCCATAGAAGAGTAGCTCTTCTATCGATAGAATCCATATCCATAGAAGAGTAGCTCTTCTATCCATTGAAGAGTAGCTCTTCTATCCATAGAAGAGTAGCTCTTCTATCGATAGAAGAAGAGCTAGAAGAAGCTACTCTTCTATGGATAGAAGAGCTACTCTTCTATGGATAGAAGTGAAACTCTTCTGTATATATCTTCTATGCATAAAAGAGTAGCTCTTCTATCCATATAAGAGTAGCTCTTAATTCATAACTCTTCTATTCATAGGAGAGGCTAGCTCTTCCATAGATGAACTCTATTTTCCATACATAGAAGAGTTCTCTCATCTATATAGAAAAGCTATCTCTCTTCTGTCTATAGAATTGTTCTCTCCCTCTCTCTCTGCTGTCTATAGAAGAACTCTATCTTCTATCTAGCGAAGCGAATGATAGAAATTTAGTTCTACTCACATTATCCACCCGCAGCAAACGATCTCCTGGCTTTATCCTTCCCGTCTTATAGACCGGACCATGTGGCCGCACATGTGTTACAATTAGAGGATAATCAGCACCACCGCGCAATGTTAGACCCAGACAACCGCTTTCACGTTCCACTGTTATTTGAGCCAACTTCGATGTTACACAAAGGCTATTTTGGGAAACTATTGATGATGCGCCGGTGATGCGACCCATCGTTGTTGTTTGTGGCGATGGCAATGGCGTAATGACAAAATTGGTCCATGTGTTTGTGTGTAGAGTTGCGGGGTGATGGAGTGCATCACCGAAGTGTTGAAAGATGAGACCAACATAAAACGTTTGTCGTCAGCATCGACAGCAGAGTGGGCACGCGTTTGTTGCAAAGAATTATGAATCCAAGTGTTACATTCGTGATGGTGGTGTTAGGTTGAGGGTGCACACACATTTGACCATCATAAACATTAGGATGTTTGTTGCATTAGTGTCAGAGAGTGTAGAAAAATCGGAAATGCAATGGAAGGGAAGAAAATAAATAAAGAAAAACACATATTGTTAAGATTTATAAAATTTGATTGATGGCAAATATTTCAAAACCATTGGCGTAGCTAGGTGAGGGTAAAAAGAGTTTTCAAACATTTTGTAGCCTCCCTCCTGCTCTACGCCCATGTTACTAATAAAAGTTTTAATAAAACTTAAATAGCCTCCCAATTAGTTCGTAAATATTTGTAACAGTTTTATTTGCCAAGGCCTCCCACTGACATTTTGGTATGTCTATTTACTCACTGTATTCGGGCAGGGAATATTCAATTTCGACGACGGCAGGACCATCTGCTGTGCCACCACCGCACAGCATGCTCATTATGTGTTGATTTGTTAACCCAATTGTTGAAATGCCATCGATTTGATGTAGACGATCTCCAGGTGCTAGGAAATCGGCAGCATGACCCAGTGGACTCAGGGCAGCAATAACAGGTGGATACGACAGGTCGTTGCGTTCTGCAAAAATAAAAAAACAACAACAAAATTAAATAAACAAATTAACAAATGAAAGAGAAAATAACAACAATAAAAACACGATTATGTAAACAAAAGGAAATATACATATGCCGGAGAGAGGGTTGGTTACACACTATTTGTTCTCCGAACTTTTCGGATGCTGTCTTTCCTTTGCAGGGCCACATATCGTCGCTGGCCATGATATATCTGTAAGATTTCATCTATTAGATGATACATGACAAAATGATGGCGGTGTACTGTGGCCTCCTCTCGCTATAAGTTACCGTACATCGTCTGCCGGTTTTTCTTGTCTTAAATTTCAATTTAAATAAATAAATTTCCCTGTCCTGTCTGTTTGTCTTTGGTGTTTTGTTATTGTTTTTTGCTTGTCTTGTTCTTTTTGAAAATTTGACGTATTGTGCCAAATTTTTTTTTTAATATTTTTTTGGTTGTTATTGTTTTTGTTTCTGTTTTCTTTCGTTTTACCCTTTATGCCGTTTGAAAATGTGGTCACTTCCGTTATGTTCATATATGTCTGGCAAATTTAGTCGATATTCAATTTGCCAAAGACATACATACGTAGTGTGGATAATAGGGAAGTATGGTATATATTTTTTTAAATATTTTGAAATTTATTAGATAAATACGTGAACAGTGACAGCCTCGAAACTTTTTATTTTATATTTTACCAGATGGTGAAAGAGATATATATCCGAACATTATCTGAGGATGAAAACACTTCGATACCATAAAATGTGCCTCATCAAAATATTTGATTTAGACCTCAAGTGTCTTGTAACGAAATTCAGTTTTTTTGGCCAAAATCGGACATCGGTAAAAGGAAAGTGTTTACTTGGATAACAAGTGAAAGAGGCGTTAAATTCGGCCGATTCTATGTAGATTTAGCCTTGTCTGACTGTATGTGTATTGAAATCATATATCCGTATCAACAATTATCATTACAGTACAGGTTTTATTATTTTCAGTTTCAGTATTTGCCTGTCTCTGAAAATCGAGATGGAGAACGATCCTACACAATTTTAGGTATTTTTAAGGTTGTTAGCAGCAGTTCCCAGCGAAAATGATGTACTTTATAATTTTAGATATTGTGAAGGTTTTTGTCAAATTTTCCAATCGTTGTATTTGTTAGTTGGTATTCCGAATTCCTGATAGATAAGAAAATTATTCTAAAAAAAATCTGTATATAGGTCCATATTTTTACATTGCCCTTAAAAATTTTCTGTATGTGCAACCTGAATGTACTCCCAAAACTCAAACAACCTATTAGATGAGAATGTCTCATTCCCCATATAAAGGTTTCGACTGATTTAGAGCATTTTTAATGCCCTACAAATGATGAAGTGTTTAAAAAGATCGGCCGGCCGAACGAAACGACATTTTTTATATAGAAAATGGAGTGCATATTAAATAGGTCATTGCGATAAAAAAACACCTTCAAATATTCGCTGGAGACCCCATTAAGTGTATATATTGTTTATCAGAATAAAAATATGTCGATTTATGCATGTCACAATAGAGCTCACAATATGGTATTGGAAATGGGATCAATATTAGCCAAAGTGTCGAAATATTCATCATATAACGGTGCCTCCACTATTCAGTATTTTGTGGATTCTGAGCACGCTTTTTAACCGAATTGGCTTTTATTTGATTTAGAGAATTTTTAATGCCCTACAAATGATGAAGTGTTTAAAAAGAAATGTTAAAAATATTCGCTGGAGACCCCATTAAGTGCATATATTGTTGAAATCACAATAGTGCTCACAATATGGTATTAGAAATGGGATCAATATTAGCCAAAGTGTCCTCATTATTCAGTATTTTGCGGATTCTGAGCTGGCTTTTTAACCGAATTGGCTTTTATTTGATATCTATATCGATATATTGAAGGTTTCATGGTTTTGGAATAGTCCTCATATGATATTTACTTAGCTGGTTTTGTGTCAGAACATTTGTTCCATAAGCCGAGTTTAACAAAAAATCCAGGCGCGACGGTATTGTGCGCAGCTCTTTCAATTGGAAGATCATGCTTCGAGATGTTGTCTTCCACTTCCATCGAATTCGTGTCTCGCTTTTATATGCCTTTTGAGCTGGGGTATCCATTCTCACAACATGACCTAGAAACTTTCCTTCATAGGTTCATTTTGTCGACCATGGCTATCCCCCATAAAAAAGTCCCGTTAGATTTTTGGTATTTTTAATGTCCACTTTATGGTAGAGGATACAAAAGGTTAGGCCCATCCGAACATAACTACTGCTACTTATAATTTACATTATAATTGTAACAACTTACGCCGTTTCGATTCTGTCCACATTAATAATACAAGTCGGATCTCTAATCTACTGTCCGAAGTCCGGTATTTTAAGGACTTAACCAATTTTTTATAGACATCGGTCAAAATTTTATTGAATGCAATTTGTCCCCATATCGACTTATTTTAGCTTTTTTTTTTAGTGACCTTAAATTTGGAACTTAGAATTTAGAATGGAACTGATATTAATAATGTAATTTACTTCGTGGTGGATGGTGTAATATTTTGGACCGGTTGAATATTGTTCTGGGATCAAAATGAAATTTCTGCATATATTTTTAGATCAAATGTAGTTGCATACCGAATCGAATACATATTTTTTCTTTTTCGATTATTTTAAACTGTTTACACCCTACAATTATGTTGTGAGAATGTTATAGCTTTGTGCATGTAGGATGGGTTCTGGCCAATGAAGAACCTAATTGTTTTTGATTAATATTTAAGGGATGAAATGGACCAAAAACTTTTTTGTCTGTTTTTCTGGTTGCTCTAGAGGTCTGGTTGCTCTAGAGGTCTAGAGGGTGGAAATGTCGCCCTGATCGCTTTGAAATTTTGTTCCGGTTATGGTCAAAGACGACGCTTATAATTTTCGGTGCTTTTGGAATTACATTTAGGGGGTACAATGAACCGAAAACTTTATTTTTTCAGATTTTCTTGTCGCTCTAGAGGCCATTACTATATGCAGGACATCACATATTTCACGCAGTGAAAGTGATGTGACCAAAAACTTAGAACTGCTATTTCAATGATGATGATCGGTCAATATTCCGAGGGTCATATCAACCAAAATCTAAACTGACCAAATTTGTATTTTATGGCGTTAATATTCCCCTCGGGAAAACAAGATTTAGAAAACATGCCTGGGTTAGAAAGTGGAGTTGTTGACCTATAACCGGTTAAGAGGGAGCAAATATCGTGAAACGTTGTTCAGGCTCAGAATTTAGGTCTATACTGCACCGCTCACGGGTACCATGTATTTTTTTTAAATTTCAAATGAGGATCACTCAAAACCTATAGGAATTGTATATTTACACCCTGATACATCCCAATATCCAATATATCTATTACTCATTCGCATCGAAAATCACGAGACAAGAGCCAAGAAATTAAATATTGCCGGTAATTTTTTGGTAATAAAATAAGAAAACCGAATTGTATTTTCTTCTATTTTTCTTTTTGTGAATTTTGGCGAGGGTGATGGTTAGTTCTGGCATTTTTTTCTTGTGACGAATGATTTTTACTGCAATTGCCAATTTGTGTTTGTTGTCTTTGTTGCTATTATTTTTGTTTTCTCAATTTTCTACTTGTTGGGATTCATTCAATTGCATTGATGTACTGCTGCTGGCGATGATTATTCATACTTTAGATTACGCTACGTTTGTTGTAGTTGTTTTTTTTTTTTTTTTGTTATTTCAGTTTTTACGCATGGATAAGATGTCGCCAAAATGAAATCTTAGTGGCTAGACAGTGATTACAATGAAAGGATATATTGGGGTGTAACGAGGACTTTTGGTGAATAAAAGGATGCTAGTATTAGAGATTAAAGCAGAAATAGATCCTATGTGATAGTGATTTTAGAGAGGTCCTTAAATGGGGACAATAGGGAGAAAATGTACAATATTAGGAGGAACTAAAAAAGGTCCTTAAATAACCCCTTGTAGTGAGAATTTCAAATATGCTATTCTACCGTTTTGACATTTATTTGAAATTTTGAGTTCTCATTAGCTGACAAGTCTTCCAAGAACTATAAAAATTGGTTGATTTTTGGGTATAGCCCACATATAATCGTAGGTATTTTTTGTAGGTATTTTGATGATCATTTGCAATATTTTCTACAAAAGTGGCTATATTTTGACATTGCGAAATGGCTATAATATGGCATTGCATATCGGTGTGTATACAACTTCTTCAGAGAACATTTTCAATATAAGTCTATGATTCTACATAGCGCCCATACAAAGGTCACATGCCATTTTCGGTATATTGAAGACCCTAGTCCGATTTTCCCAAACTGAGTATTTGTAGTTTGATGTTTCGTTTTCTCCTGTCAGCTATTTTCCATGCCATGGCCACGATATATGAAAGTCGAGATCGAGTTTAGGGCTTTCGAATGTCCTCCTCATATTTGGGGGTATACAAAGTTTGTCTTGGACGATCTTAACAGCGTTTGACTTGTTTTTTGTTAGTTTTAATGCCATGGAAAGACTCATACACAAATAGTACTCATTATATACATATTATTTTTGTTTTCAAAACATATTAGCATACGGAACATATTCTATATGTCTAGACATCTAGGCCAATTCATTACCATAATACAATGTATAGATAGATGGATGTTCTGGTTCCTAATATATGTACGAGTATTTATTTATTTTCCTTTAAGATTCACGTCGCTGGCAAAGACAATTTTCTTTAAATAATGAATTTATCAGAGGTGTAGTTGGCCTTTTTATAGTTTAGCTACGCCCCTGATAATCTGTCATGTCTTTCGTCACATTTGTCTAGGTTTTTTTTTTTTTTTTTTTTTGTATTTTATTTATTTCTTTTCAGTTTTGACTAATTTATTGTCAAATTATAATATCATAATTGTGTCAAACTAACGGAAAATATCAGACGCCTGTAATTATTCTTAAAAATAAATGTTGAGGTGTGAAATGAATTTTT